TGACCCGTCAAGCAACAGGCATACTCGTACCCGAGTCTATTGGGCTCCGTCATATCTCTGTGTGAAGCGGAGTCCCTCTCTCTCTCTCTCTCTGTTGGTACCAATCTGGAGGCCGCGGGAACATGTTCGAGACGTGACGCAGGTATGTATGGGTGGTTGACACAGGTGTGTGTGTATGGGTGGTTGACGCAGGTGTGTGAATGATTGGTGGAATGTGGTGATTGGGGATCCGGTGTTGATGACGTCATAAACACACATTACATGAAAAGTATCAGAGTTAGATTTTGTTGGAAAATTTTTCGGCCATTAGTCAATAATGTTTTACATTTTAGAAAAAGAAAAAAAATAATTTAGAATCGAATTAGAATTATATTGCAAGATTCGTGGTTGGGGGGGGGAGGGGGGGGAGTGAATCACTTTGGCACCCTTGTCAAGTGGTACTCGTTTCATTTATGCCAACTCACCCATGTGGGGCACGTACCCAACAGCCATTACTGTTAAAAAAGTGGGTGCAACCTTAAAAAATGTTGACAGGATCAACGAAATACATATCTTAGCATCAGACTATAAAAACTGTAAAATGACCTTCAGAGAGTTTTTTTTTCCTTTTTACTTCCTTCTCAAGTAAAATTGAATATAAATATTTACAAGATTCGTGCCAGAAGCATCGATTTATCACACAGAATGATCACGAAAACATTGAAAAACGAGAGATTGCTGAACGCGTTTTCGGCATTTCAGGCCATCCTCAGAGCAAAGATGACTTGGGACTAAGCACGGATACCCAATACCAGTGATACACTACCAAGCAAACCCCGAGCAAGCAAGTGAATTATTCAGTGTGTACACTTGACGGTGGTAAGTGTAGCGTGAGGTGAGAGTGTTATATTGATGAGGCACTAAGTCAAGGGTCAGCAAGAGTAACAAATACCTTCAGGAAGTGTTACTTGCTCACTATTCAGTGTCTGGTGTGATGTATGGTGACCAGTCACAGTATTCCGCCAGGATTGTGAGGCGAGAGTTATACTCTCCCTTAACACGTGTTGAAGGTGAGTTATAGTGAGTTCTTCCTAGATGGGGCTACTGGTCTCTTCCTCACCATCTTCTTCGTCATCTTGCATGGTATACAAGCTGGGATTACTGACCTGTAGTTCAGTGTCTCATTTATTTTACCTTGGCTGTCTTCCAACTTTTTGGTAGGTCGATTGTTTCTAGTGACTTTGTATAATATATATTAAAAGTTGCGAGCATTTGGGCTTCTGCTTGTTTATTAGTATCTATACTGAGTTTTTCTCATCAAACAGCATTAGTCGTTACTTGTTTATATAGATACCTCCTTATCTCATCTCTGATAATCTCAGCAACCACTAGAGTTGCTTTGTTTGATACTGTCTTAATTAAGGCACTTCCATCTTGCTCTATTGTTAAGACCTCCTGAAACTTGTTGAGTTCTTCATGCCCCTCCCTGTGAGAATGTTCTAACAGTCTAACTTGTTCTCAGTCTCGCCACTAGTTACCATACTGTTCTCAAATCAATGTCGTTCCCCCTTCGTCTTAACAACCCTAGACCGTCTGGCCACTTTCTTGAATAGAATTTTTCTTTCATTTCTACTTTTCCCCAGATATTCAGATGTTAGTAGTTTCTTGTTATCTTCTGCTGCTCTTATTCACTACCCTCCTACTCCTGTCTTCTCAAACTTGTGTTTAGTGTTTTTCTGACAATCCAAAACTGTGCAGTCTACCCTCTCTTCCCACGTCCTGATCTTCAACCCACTCTTTTTGCGTACTCCCCACCCCTCTCTCCTACCCTTTACCCCAACCCCAACCAACCCCTCCCCACTCTCCTTCCCGTCTCCCCTACCCACTAGTCTCCCTCAACCCCTACCCACCAGCCAAACAGGTGACAAAACAAGCGAGGGGGGAAACAAACTGCCGGTCAAGTGTGGTTGAAATTGGCGTCCTGAGGGGATAATTTGGCAGCTCGTCTGACCTTGTATGGGCACCGTGCTGTGGTGGGGGACAGGCAGTGGAAATGAGTATTGATTCAAGGAGTGAGCCATTGACCAGGGATGAGAGGAGAGGGGGGGGGGGAGACAAGTGGATGGGGAGGTGGGTTTGTTGGCTAAATGAAGAAGAGACATAGAGAAAGAAGGGTAGAAAGTTGCACCCCCACTAACCTCTTCTGTCTCAGCACTTCTCAGTTTTTTGTCCATATTGTTTTTCTAAAAATTTAAGTCGCCTAGAATGCAGATGTTATTACACTTAGTACACCTAGTTGTACTCACCTAGTTGTACTCACCTAGTTGTACTCACCTAGTTGTACTCACCTAGTTGTACTCACCAAGTTGTACTCACCTCACATCACTGGAAAGCTCTAGGCAGTGATGTGGTGGAGGCTGACTCCATACACAGTTTCAAATGTAGATATGATAGAGCCCAGTAGGCTCAGGAATCTGTACACCAATTGATTGACAGTTGAGAGACGGGACCAAAGAGCCAAAGCTCAACCCCCGCAAGCACAATTAGGTGAGTACCTAGTTGTACCCACCTAGTTGTACTTGCGGAAGTTGAGCTTCATCTCGTTGGTCCCGCCTGCAGCTTATCTAACTCATCCTTACCCCACACACAACACCAAACAACAGTTACAACACGGATGACCTTAACTACCTTAATAATAATAATAGCAACAACTACAACAAAAGTGGAGTGAAGATTTACGGGTTTTGGAGCGAGGTTCCCGGGGCCCATCAACCGTCACCTTGATGGCCTTGGTGTAGGTGGCGACTTGAGGGGGCGTAGTGCTGATGGTGATGGTCAGCAGGAAGCTCTTGCCTGTGGGCGACACAAGGGGGATGGTGAGACATGGTGAAGAACGGCAAATTCCTGAAAGAGAAAGAGAGAGAGAGAGAGAGAGAGAGAGAGAGAGAGAGAGAGAGAGAGAGAGAGAGAGAGAGAGAGAGAGAGAGAGAGAGAGAGAGAGAGAGAGAGAGAGAGAGAGAGAGAGAGAGAGAGAGAGAGAGAGAGAGAGAGAGTGAGTCTCGCCACCACATGCGTCCAGAGACCATGTGGATATGTAACAACATAAAAGGTCAGGTTTGATCGTAAAGGGCCAGATGTCAGGGCGTGGAGCCTGGGTTTCAATTAGCACCTTCTGCCGGCGACGGTGTCGAGTGGCGCCGGAGATTTTTGGCGGGAAGGATCTTAAAGGCGTATTTACAAACCGGCAACTGCCACTGCATCTGGAGTGTTGCCATACCCCTGGTTGCGGATGCTGAGAGTAGGGAAGATATGCGCTATTTTGGGACTATAGTTTGTTATTCTATTTATTTCTTATTTTTGGTTTAAGTGCATGAGGCTTGTTTTTTAGTGGATGAGCGGTAGTGGCCAGGTTCATGTGTGCTGGTGTTAGCGACAAGGCCCATATGTGCTATACAGCTGCCCATATGTGCAATACAGCTGCCCATATGTGCTATACAGCTGCCCATATGTGCTATACAGCTGCCCATATGTGCTATACAGCTGCCCATATGTGCTATACAGCTGCCCATATGTGCTATACAGCTGCCCATATGTGCTATACAACTGCCCATATATGCTATTCAGCTATACAATAGTGAGCATTGTCAAGCTTGAGTTTAATATCCTAATTAAAAAAAGTATTGCTGGGGGGGGAGAAGGGGGCTCGAACTGGTGGTCTAAAATATACCATTTCCTCTCACATAGTGTCACCTAACGATCTTGCAGATCGGCGTTCAATCCCCGACCGTCCAAATGGTTGGGCACCATTCCTTTCCCTCGTCCCATCCCTAATTATTATCCTGGTCCCCTTCCAAATGCTATATAGTCGCAATGGCTTGGCGCTTTCCCCTGATAACCTTCCCCCCTCCCTCAATTCATGTAAGAGTTCTCGCTTAATGACACTTGCTGGATATATTTGATAGCTCAGCATTAAATTAAACATTGTCTTTATTTACTGGAAGCTTAGCAAGGGCATCAACTTTATCATGTTTCTGAAGTCTAGTGAGAGGAAATAAACAACATTTGACATCATTGATCCCCCCCCCCTGTTTTTCTTTGACAACAAAGACTTATCCCTGGAAACACAAACCGAAACTGTCTCTATTTTCCGCTTGTTACAACTTGTAATAAGTTGTTACATCTTGGCTTAACGTGTTTATGACGTATTAGAACGTTGTTACAACTTGCTATATTGGTTGTTATAACTGGTTAGGAAGTGTTAAAACTTGTTCGAACGTTGTACCAACGTCGTAGTTTCGGTGTGTGTTTGGCGGGATGCTTGTAGGTCCAGTCCATTGTTAGGTAACTGCAAACCTGTCAAATGGTTTTTGGTTATTATGTAAGAATCTCGCCTTTTATATTCCTAAATAAGTTTCTAACAAACTGTGTAGCAAGTAGATGAAGGGAATGATGGGAATTATACCTACGATTTGCATAAATTTTTGACAATTGAAATCTGACTTCCGACTAGGTAGGTTAGGTTATTAGTGACGTGTTGAGAGATAGCGAAAGAACATTAAATAAATTCACCATTCACATTAAATAAAAAAAAAAAAAAATTAAAATTTTGAAAAATTAAAAAAAAAAATTAAAAGCTTTACTTAAAAATAAACACAGATAACAAAACCTGACTTTGGCTTAACACTAAAGAAAAATTGAGTATAATATTGCAACCTGTTCTCGCAAATTTAATAAGTCAATATTGACTTATTAACTACGTGCATAGGTGATATACTAAACATAATAGATACCCCTAAAAAGATTCATAGAAAACACCGACCTTACCTAACCTTGTTAGTATCTTAAGATAAGCATCTTATTGCTTCGTAATTACAATTATTACTTAACCTGTACCTATTATAGGTTAGGTAATAATTGTAATTACGAAGCAATAAGATGCTTATCTTTAGATACTAACAAGGTTAGGTAAGGTCGGTGTTTTCTATGAATCTTTTTAGGGGTATCTATTATGTTTAGTATATCACCTATGCACGTAGTTAATAAGTCAATATTGACTTATTAAATTTGCGAGAACGGGTTGCAACATTTACGTCACAAAAAGCGTGACTCTTTCACTATTTAAAGACGTTGTACTTCCTCCGTCACACGTCGTAGATGAGACCACATCGAGTGAGGGAAAGACGTTGTTGTTGTTAAAGATTCGCTACCTGGAACTAAAAGATCCAAGTAGCACGGGCTATGGTGAGCCCGTAGTGGAGTGAGGGAAAGACTTATGCACCCAATGAGCACCAGAAACTTGAGTACTGGGGGGGTCTATTGTATCTGTATATACAGGATAAGATACCCATTAGGGCGAGCCTTGAAGTGGGGGACAGCTGAAGAGAAGTCAGTGAGAGGAAACGCTGAAGTTGTAGATAAAGTGCCAGGGCTAAACCCAGCTGCTTCTCTGGAATCGATGCTGGAACAACACCACAACTTTCTAGGCGCTGATACGGGGTCAGAAAGAGTAGCATTGGCGGTGCTTCGTTATTCTAAATGGTTTTCTGTTTTCTGGCGGCGTCTTCTTTCATCTTACTTTTTATTCTCCTTCTTTCGTAACTGCATATGATGTGTTTTGGCTTCCTGGAAGTCAGGAAGGAAGAGGTTCGGTAGGAGAGTGGCTTCGTCGCAATCATTTAGGATGTCAATTCCAGGAATTTTGGCCAAATGCGCATTTTCCGGACCTACCGCTCGGTGTTCTTCATATCGCAGGTTACAGATTCGGGTGGTAAATTTTCTGCATTCAGGAGACCCATAAGTGGCGTTATCTTGTTGTAGAGTCAGGGCTTCTATCAGTTCACTACACATGGGGGATGAGTGAGCTTCAACATCGACATAGACACTAGAGTCATTGATAGATAAGGCACTGATAGATAAGTAAAGGTCTGCTGAAGCTTTTCGTGACGGTGTCGAAGGAGCCGTAGCCTGTGCTGGTTCAACTGGCCGCGGTGAACAGCTGCCTTCACACGCGATGAACAGCAGCCAAACCTGACCTATCTCTCAATCACACTCAAGAGACTCTTTTGAGTGTGATAGAGACCCTCAACGCCACCGTTCACAACCCCACAACATCACCGTTCACACTACCGAACACCATCCTAGTATACCGCCGATGACCACTGGTCACAACCAACTTTTCAATCTAATAGTTGTGGTCCAAGTCCACCTCGGGGTCAAAGTCCGGGTCAAAGTCCAAGTCAAAGTTCCAGTCACTGTGAGAGCCCTCGTCCGTGCCATAGCCCTAGTCATCGTCCTAGCCGTAGTTATTGTCCGAGTCACTATCCGAGTCACTATCCGATTGCAGGACATCATCATCCTGACGGATGACGGCATCAATCTCACGAAATGCGGCATGAAGCTGACGGGTGACGGCATGAATCTGACGGTTGATGGCATCGTCCTGACAAAGGTCCTCCTCATCTCCACGGAGGACGGCATCGACCTGGCCGAGGGCCCCCATGCTGTCGTCACGAAAACAACGAAATGAAGATGAGAAACCCATGGTTTAACCAGAGATGTAGGCTAGCTAAGCAGCAAAGTAAAAGCGCATGGAGAAACTATAGAAATAACAGGACACTTGAGAGCAGAGAAAGATACCAGAGTGCCAAGAATGAATACGTCAGGGTGAGAAGAGAGGCAGAAGGGCAATATGAAAACGATATCGCAAGCAATGTACAGACTCAACCTAAATTGCTGCACAGCCACATCAGGAGAAAAACAACAGTAAAGGAACAGGTAATGAAATTGAGGGTAGGGGCAGACAGATTCACTACAAACGACAAGGAAGTGTGCGAGGAACTGAATAAGAAATTCCAGGAGGTCTTCACATTAGAGCAAGGAGAAGTTCCAGAAATAAGAGAGGGAATAGATACCCAGGAACCACTAGTAGAATTTGAGATTACCAGTGGGGATGTATGGAGACTTTTGCTACAGTTGGATGTGACAAAGGCTATAGGCCCAGATGGAAACCATAGTGTATAACAAATCACTGGTAGCAGGGGAACTGCCAAAAATTTGGAAGACGGCTAATGTGGTCCCGATATACAAGAAGGGGGATAGACAGGAGGCACTGAACTACAGGCCAGTGTCCCTAACCTGCATACCATGCAAGCTGATGGAGAAGATTGTTGAACATCTGGAGCAAAGGAATTTTGTAACACAGCATCAACATGGGTTCAGGGATGGCACCTAATTGTGCTTGCGGAGATTAAACTCTGGCTCTTTGGTCCCGCCTCTTAACTGTCAATCAACTGGTGTACAGATTCCTGAGCCTACTGGGCTCTACCATATCTACATTTGAAACTGTGTATGGAGTCAGCCTTCACCACATCACTGCCTAATACATTCCATCTGTTAACTACTCTAACACTGAAAAAGTTCTTTCTGACGTCCCTGTGGCTCATTTGAGTACTCAGTTTCCACCTGTGTCCCCTTGTTCGCCTACCACCCGTGTTAAACAGTTTATCTTTATCTACCCTGTCAATTCCTTTGAGAATTTTGTAGGTAGTGATCATGTCTCCCCTTACTCTTCTGTCTTCCAGTGTCGTAAGGTGCATTTCCCGCAGCCTTTCCTCGTAACTCATGCCTCTTAGTTCTGTGACTAGCCTAGTGGCATACCTCTGAACTTTTTCCAGCTTCGTCTTGTGCTTGACAAGGTACAGACTCCATTCTAGGGCCGCATACTCCAGGATTGGTCTTACATATGTGGTGTACAAGGTTCTGAATGATTCCTTACACAGGTTCCTGAAGGCAGTTCTGATGTTAGCCAGCCTCGCATACGCCGCAGATGTTATTCTTTTGATGTAGACTTCAGGAGACAGGTTTGGTGTGATATTAACTCCTAGATCTTTCTCTCTGTCCGTTTCATGAAGGACTTCATCTCCCATTCTGTGTCCTGCGTATGGCCTCCTGTTTCCGCCGCCTAGTTTCATTACCTTACATTTAAGGTAAGGTATTTAAGGTAAGGTTTAAGGTGTGTGTGTCTTTCTGTGTTTTTATATACTTGCGATAAAGTAATGTGCGCCGCCACCACCTTACAATCAACTAAAGCCTATTTATGATCCTGAGGTTCGCTTTTACTGCCAATTTCCTGCCATGAAGCCTTGCCTTGTCTTCCCTCCCATAATCCACAAGGCTGTCTTTGTCCGCCCCAGACGGTTTTAAATGTGGTGATCGGGTTCCTCTCTCATTAGAGAGTCTTACGCTGAAAAAAAAGTTCTTTCTGACATCTATCCGTGACTCATCTAAGTCTCCAGTTACCATTTATGTTCCCTCGTTCGGTCCCCCAGCTCTGAACACCGGTTCTCTCTCTCTCTCTACTCGTTCGGTCCCCCAGCTCTGAACACCGGTTCTCTCTCTCTCTCTACTCGTTCGGTCCCCCAGCTCTGAACACCGGTTCTCTCGCTCTCTCTACTCGTTCGGTCTCCCAGCTCTGAACACCGGTTCTCTCTCTCTACTCGTTCGGTCCCCCAGCTCTGAACACCGGTTCTCTCTCTCTCTACTCGTTCGGTCCCCCAGCTCTGAACACCGGTTCTCTCTCTCTCTACTCGTTCGGTCCCCCAGCTCTGAACACCGGTTCTCTCTCTCTCTCTACTCGTTCGGTTCCCCGTACAGTGTCATATGTCGCTATCATATCTACTCTCTAATATTTTTTTCCTGCATAGCACACCAACCCGTTATCTTGATTGGCCACAACGCACAAAAGGCTTAACGTCTTAAACTAAACTAATTATCCTTCGAAGGCATTGAAGACGAGGATTTTTGCGTTGAGGGGGATAGTTTCCATAGCACGTTGTAATTGATTCGTTGTGTAAACCAGTTAGTCCCGTAGAGGCTGTTCGCTGCGTTCAGAAGGTTCCCTTGTCCATGTTCCTCAACGTGGACGGGGGAAACGTTTGGATTCGTTTCCTTTCACCTGATGTCGCTGTTCATCTAGTGTTCTAAATAGGTACTCGGGAGTTAGGCAACTGTTGTGTGTGTGTGTGTGGGGGGGGGGGGGTTGCGTCCTCGTATTACATTATTAATTATTGCGGTTTAATCTGAAATTATCACCCTTCTCACTATGGCTCTTTGTTTCCTTCCTGGGAGGGACTCCTTTGTCCACCTACTCTACACGTAAGTTCTCCACCCTAAGTATTTTCTACTCCTGCGTGTGTGCGTGTGTGTGTGTGTGTGTGTGTGTGTGTGTGTGTGTGTGTGTGTGTGTGTGTGTGTGTGTGTGTGTGTGTTGTGTAAACTCAGGTTCACTAGCTCTAAGGAGGAAGACTCCAGGAACTTAATTAAATCCAGACAAAACACAAAGGTTTTCCAGGAACGTCTACCCAGGTGTGTCCTTACATATGTATGTGACATACACGTGTCACATGTAACATGTTTGTGACGTACTTTGTGACACATTGGTTTTGGGTAATTTGAAGGAATGCATTAGACAGTGATGTGGTGGAGGCAGACTCCATACACAGTGTCAAATGTAGATTTAATAGAGCCAAATAGACTTAAGAATCTGTACTCCAGTTGATTGACAGGTGAGAGGCGGGACCAAAGAGCCAAAGCTCAACCCCCCCCCCCGCAAGCACAACTAGGTGAGTATATATATATATATATATATATATATATATATATATATATATATATATATATATATATATATGTATCATATACATGACATGTAAGAACTATGTTGGGTGACATGTGACTTTTAGATTAACGATGCTGAATACCGTACGGTATGTGGCCTATATGTAACTTACATATGACACGATATGTTTCACATATTGCATATGCTATGTGACATCATATTTGACTTACACTCCATGACAATTATTTTTTACTCGCTATATATAATTTCGTGACATATGTGACCTACATATGACTCATAGTAAGTGATATACATATATCAATTGCCCATTTATGTACCTTATGCTATATAGCAAATAGATCTTACATATGTGTCATTTTCAATTATTATTACATCTAAACATTTCATATATATATATATATATATATATATATATATATATATATATATATATATATATATATATATATATTTATATACATTTTTGTGTTTTAAATGTCTAGATATTTTAAATATCTATTTTTTAAATGTCTAATACGTGCTAGGATGATACACTCCACAATAACAGAGGATTAGGCCTACCATGGCCTAGGTCCTAGGAGGACGAGAAGAAACCCCCAGCTAGGACCTAGGAGGACCAGGGGGAACCCCCAGCTGAGACTAATTACCTAGCAGGTACCTAGCAGTACCCAGCAAAGACATAGAAGTCCCTTCGCTTGAAACAATCCAACAATCATGCATCTATTATGTTACTGAGTAATCTGTTGCATAAATCAACACATCTATTTCCAAATGAAAATTTTTTCCAATAATAAACCAGTATTTACCCCAGATCTTTTCTGCATCTTATTCACTAAAGGTTTTATAGACATGAATCCCAGTATCCTACACCTGCCTTCATTTGTCACCCAACATGACCTGGTAACTGACCTCTGCCGGATCTCCCGACGAAGCGAAGGTCGTTGAACTTGGCCACCTGGTTCTTCATGATGGTGGAGTTATTGCGAATCTCCGCGCAGCAGTTCTCGTCATTACCGGCTCTGATGGTGACCAGCGTCCCGTCCTGCACGGCCCCTAGCGCCACCACTCTGCCGGGAGGGAGTCGTGGTGTTTAGTAGGGTAAAGGCGGACGTAATGCATCTGCGGCGCTCGGGGGAATGGAACATAATCCCCCCCTATATCGCGATATATCCTCTACATCTCAATACATCTTCTATATCTCAATACATCGTTATATACAGTAGAACACTGTTAACACGACTCAGCATCCACAGAGGAGTATTAGTAGAACTTGTGGTGAGGTTAAAGGTGGTCGCCGCACCCAGACCTCAGGGTCGCCTCTCTCTCACCCGCTCATATTGCCTCGCTCAACTGGGGTCGATTCGCTGCCCAATTAAAATACGACTGGCCAATTAAAATAGGCCTGACCAATTAAAATAGGTCAGACCAATTAAAAGAGGCCTGACGAGTTCAAATGATCTTGGTCAATTAAAATATGTCTGCCCAATTAAAATAGGACTGCAGAATGAACATAGAAAGCTTCCTCTTCCTGTCACACAGGAATTGAAAACAAAGTGAAAACCGTTGGGTATTCCTAGGGTGTTGTTGTGTATTAGAGGAACTGCAATAATTAAAATAATAATAATAATAATAATAATAATAATAATAATAATAATAATAATAATAATAATAATAATAATAATAATTGCTCTTGTGAACGCCCAGTCGTACCAAAAGCAGGATATAATCCAGAGTTTCTCCCTCTTTTAAAACCACTATTAGAAATAGTGGCAAATGGATGCACGTGTTCCGCACCAAAGGGAACAGCACCGTCTGTGGCGGCCGGGGGTATTATTCACTCATTGAGGCTAATTAGCGGCAGTAAGGCAAGTCTGCTGGGGAGGGGGGGGGGGAGTAATGGGTATCGTGCAATGCAGTTGCAGCGTCGCTATATGCACAGAGTGCAGTGTTGCAGGGGTTGTTGCTATGTTCAAAGAAATGCATGAGAGGCCACTGTGGCTGTTGAGTGGAGCAGGTGGATTGTTGTGTCTGCAATGTTGCACTGTTCTTATGGCCAAATTATATACAAGAATGTCATATATATATATATATATATATATATATATATATATATATATATATATATATATATATATATATATATATATATATATATATATATGATCACAAATACACTGATCCAAGTATGCAGAATAACCACATGGGAAAAATAGAGCATGCTTAACGTGTTTTCGGCTAATTCGCCTTCATCAGAGCAAAGTAGAATGAAGATCATCTTCATTCTACTTTGCTCTGAAGAAGGCGAGTTAGCCGAAAATGCGTTAAGCATTCTCTATTTTTCACACGTGGTTACTCTGTATATATATATATATATATATATATATATATATATATATATATATATATATATATATATATATATATATATATATGTGTGTGTGTGTGTGTATTCACCTAGTTGTGTTTGCGGGGGTTGAGCTTTGCTCTTTCGGCCCGCCTCTCAACTGTCAATCAACTGTTTACTAACTACACTAACTACTTTTTATTTTTTTCCCACCACACACACACACACATACCCCAGGAAGCAGCCCGTGACAGCTGACTAACTCCCAGGTACCTATTTACTGCTAGGTAACAGGGGCATTCAGGGTGAAAGAAACTTTGCCCATTTGTTTCTGCCTCGTGCGGGAATCGAACCCGCGCCACAGAATTACGAGTCCTGCGCGCTATCCACCAGGCTACGAGGCCCCCACGAGAAGTGTGTGTGTGTGTGTGTGTGTGTGTGTGTGTGTGTGTGTGTGTGTGTGTGTAAATCACGAAAAATAAACACGTGATTAAAAATGTGACAGTGTCAGACCACGGAGGAAAATTGAAAAAGGAATTT